GCAGAATTAAAATAGCCTATCGTGTAACTGTGTCTTTGACCTTCGTTCCTTTTACCGAGTAAGGTGAACTCGTAATAGCATCAATCATATCAGAATACATCATTATTTGTATTCATTGAATATAGTCGTTTGTTTGTTGTTTAAAACTCGAATGTAAATTGTGTGTTTCTTGATAGTAGATAGAATTATTTCTTTTTTTTTTCGTTGTCATCATTGAGTCCATTTATATCTGCTCCGTAGGTGATTTTTCTATTATTGAACAGCTGTAAGTTAAATTTATATTGATCCAATACGAAAATATTTTTAAGTCTTTAACACCGTTGGATGCAAGCATAATGCTTCAGTGGTTACTGATTCACGCATGAGATCGAAGGTCTTGGGTTCGAGTTCCGAGTGTGGGATTGTGGATGCAAACTGCTCAGGAGTCTCATACTAGGACGAAAAGACCGTGCAGTACTTCAATGTTTTTAATGGTGGTCTAGCTCAGATTAACTCGTGAATTTATCTGTAAAAATTTCAAGATTTTTACTTTAAAGATATGTAAAGAAGCTTTCATACTCTTTAGAAATTCGAATATAATTCACTGTCTGAAACAGTTCATTTCGTTTAGTTTACTGTAGTTCCGAAGTAAGGAAACGTCTATTTAGTATATATATATATATATATATATATATATATATATATAATTGGGATTTTACTGTTATTAAATTTCATCAGATAGCAGTTAACTAGAGTCATTTCAGCTACTCGCAGATGCATCCAATAATTTCGTCTTTTAACTACCTCTTAGACTTAGTATACGTGATTTGTAAGGAATGTTGAATTTTGTGGTTTATATAACTGATTGACTTAGTAAGGTCATAAATGACCATTAATAGTTTCCTATTATGATAAAACAGGTTTTCAATTCTTCCCAGTTCTTAATAGCTGTCTAACTAAGTTCAGCCTATAATGTTAACAATAAAATTACTTTTGATAATCTATAAATAAAAACATTGCAATGCCCAATGGAAATGAACTCTATCCGTAAACACAATAATGTATAATTTTAAAAAAATGACATGTGTATAACCATCCTAACCTTAGTGATGTTGACAGATGATGAAACAGCATATGGTAAAATAAAACTTTTCAAAATAAAGTGCTTACCTTAACAATGGTAAGTTAATATTAATGTTAGTGATGATGTTATCTTTAGAAATACTTTGTCAGTTCAACCTATGATTATAGCTTTTCAGGTTATATATGTCATTCTTACAATAAGGAATAGTTATATTTAAAATCAGATTATTTGAAGTGGACACTGAAATTGTACAATGACATAAAATTTGGATGTTGTCAGAAGTTTGATTATGTTCATTTCTATATTTTGTAAATTCATATACCTTTCTTATGTTAAATATGTATTATAAACTAAAACAGACCTTTTAAAACAAACAAGACCACAGATGAGAAAAGTTTTTTTATGAATTCACATCCGGAGTTATCAGTATATACATTTTATTTTCATTCCATTGACGATGTTATTTTAGAATAAAGTAAACATAATTATGTGTAATAGTAACAAATTGTAAATATATTTTTTCATAGTTGAATTCATGAGTCAATCGAAGCTAGACCACTATGGAAAACCTGGAAAAACTGGAAGGCCGTTTCGTCCTATTATGGGACTCCTCAGCAGCGCGCGTCCACGATCTCGCCTCACGAGATTCGAACCCAGGACCTACCAGTCTCGCGCCAGAGCGCTTAACCAATAGACCACTGAGCCGGCATCCGATGATAATAATGTCTAAATTCAACCAATCCACGAAGTTTGAGCAACCGTTAACCAATTGCCTTCAATGAGTTGATAACAGAACGAAACGGCCGTCCAATGCTTCCAGGTTTGCCATCGTGATCTAGTTTCAATCGACTCATGCTTTCAACTATGAAAATACTAAAATTTCCACAAAACCCCTTCTGATCAATAATTTTTTTAACAAAATTGTTGTCGTTACATAATATATTGTAAGAATACTGAATAATTTTGATAAAGTTTTGTTCTCTTAGCTGAATGGTTTGGTCTTGGTTAGAAAACAAAACTCCATCAAAATTATCCACCTGAGCTATAAATCTTCTCCACCATTTCAATACTGGTTATTGCTTACAATTATAAACTTTGAAAAAATTGAACTTTAAATCGAATTGAATAAACAAATTAGTTTGATTTACTTTTTGATTAGGAAAATATTTTTCTATTCACAATTCATTTGGAAAAAAAGAACCCAATGAAAGTTGAAACATATGGTGTTTTCATTTAAGATGGAAATAATTATAAGGCGAATCTAGCTTGATTTCTTTGAATATAACACTTTCTGATAGTATTAAGAATGTAAACTAGGAGGTTACCTTTTTACTATTATCAATTAGCAAATAATGAACTTGATGTTGAATGAGAAAGATTGTATCTTCGGACTTAATATACAGTTTTAAAATGTGTTTCTTCAATTATGAATACCATGAAATCAGTATATGCTGAAGGAATATGGAGCGCATCTCAGGTCTTGTTTACATTTCAGACGTTTTTCATTAGCTTATTGAATTTTGATATCCAAAACGTTTTTAAGATGTATCGGATATATCAAAGGAACCTTCATTAAATGCTTCAAATTTATAAACAGAATATAAAATAATAAGAATTTCATTCGTTCTTGTTAATTTATATTTGGACGTTTTAACTTTAAAATTGATAATTCAATCGTTAACAAATACGTAATCATTCGGCTTATTTCAATTTTCTTTATCTTCTCCCATCAATAATAATCTCCCTAAAAGAAAACAGTTTATGACATGAACTAATCAAATCCTGAATCCTAACCGATGTGATCGACTACTCACAATTTAGTGATTTTAGTAACAACTTGAAGCCTTCAAGGGATTCTTTTAGAAGTAATATTTATATTCAGAACTGTCTTTTCTTAATTAGTGTGGATTTAAGACGACGGTAAAATGAAACATCACAATGATGAGAGTGTTTATATTTCCTTAACTTTGTATGAATAGTGTTAACTCAGATTTTAATTTTGCAAATATTGTTTCTATCCACATAATTTAAAAAAAAATAACAACTAACAGGAAATCAACCGTTTTTTTTAATGATAGCAATTCAGATACTTGAAAAAGATCTCCCAGTTAGTATATTTTTACTGACCTTAAGCTTTTAAGAAAATCGATAGCTTTAAAAGCAAGATAATTTTGAGCCTAGTGGTTTTGGATGAATTAATTTACTATGGTGTTTTGTGAAATTAATTGTACTCTGTCACCAATTAAATTAAGGGAAACTGTTAACTAATGGGTTTTGGAATCTAAAGTTTATGAGCTTAGTCCAGGACGAAGCCGTTAGTAATACAGTGTTGATGATTCCAAAATAAAACAGAATTCTGTTCAGTACTTGCTGAATTTTCTTTATTGATTCTCTAAATTATCTTAGCTTGTGATGTAAAATTATTTTCAGACAGTATTAGTTAGCTTCTCAAGTTTTTATGAATGGTACGTACTTGTTGGTAAGTTCAAAGAAAATTAGTATCTGAGTTACAAACTAAACTTGAAATACATAATTTTCTAGATTGATGATTATAAGTTTTACCCATTATTATACTTAAACTTAATAAACATAGACATAGTATGAATCTTTATTACTAGTCTGATAACTGACAACAATGGCCTGACTCAATGTATACTGCTTGAACTAACTGTAGGAAGTTATTTGACTGAACTTCTACATCTTAAGTAAAAAAAAATGACACAAATCCAGCTTGTAATGGTGATAATCTCCTTGAAAAAATATCATTTAAGTGATGATTCCAATTAATTGTCAAATTGTTCTGTATGGTTTCGAAATCTCCTATGTACAACATAGATATTTTACACGTTACACACTAATTCATAATGTAAGTATGAAAAAAGGATATATGTGTGTCTCATTTTGAACAAAGTTGATAACCATTAACAATGTAACTCAGTGGCTTAGGGGTATTGCATATGTTGTGTGATCTGACTGTTAATGTATTTGGCCTACTACTTGTGAAGTACACATTCTTAAAATACGTCGACGGAGATTTTTATTTAGTTTTCTTTCTAAGTTTCAGTCTTCATGAACAGACCTTTAAATGTTTATCTAGCACTCAACACGGAGACATGTTAGGTTTTTAATCATTAGGATAGATAATAGTTGAGATAGGCTAAAATTTGTGAAATAACTAGTTCAAAAATGTGTCATGATAGTGGAACAAATTCAGTATTTGAAATACTTATAAAAGACCTTTGTTTAAACATCTTTATTGACTAGCTTTGATAATTTACATCTTATGCAATAAAAGAAACCTAATATAATAGAGAGAAAGTAAAAGACAACTCAGCCTTGGAGATAAATAGCTTAGGTGTTATCAAACTTAGATTGAAATCAGATATAAGCTAAGTTTTTGTAGATTTAAGTAAACATGTGCTTCCTAGAAAAAAAAGACAAACTCTTTAAGTTTCATACATAATATCGTCTTTAAATAAATTGTTGAAAATAAACATTATTAATCATGTAAACAGACTGGACAGTATGAAATACCATATAGAGCTATCGGTATTTATATACTAGAACGTCCATCTAAATAAACCCTCAGTCAAAATAGTCATCAAACGTTTGGCAGTGTAATGTCTACTAAATAACAATATACTAAACACTAAAGGTGTCGGAAGTGAATGTTTAAAGTCAAATATATATAAGTTTATATCTCATTAAGGAATATGAAAATAATTGGTGAAGTTAATAGTTACTTTTACATAGTCCTAGTCTTAACAATAGAGTAATCATAGTTACTATTTTGTTTTTCAGATATTCCTGTTATCTGCATTTATTATGACCTTGGTCTAGTGTTATATTTATCAATAAATAAATTAAATGACCTCTGATTGCATTGTTCACTTTTTGTTATTGTTTATGTCTCTTTGTTGATTTTAACACGCAATAGGTATGCTACTTGGAGGATTGTTTCTGAGAAATATTGGCGGACTTTTGATTCCGGAACAGATTTACCACCCAGGTCAACTACCAAGTGGAAGTGTTCCTTATGGATACAATGCTAGTTTATCGAATTCCACTTCTTACAATGAGGAAGAATATCCTTTTAATATAACCGATCCACGTACTCAGTTTGCTGCTCTTTTATTGGTAAATCCAGTTTTATCTGGAGTTTTAAGACAACTTGCTTTGACTACAATTCTGACACGGGCTGGTTTGGGTCTTGATCCTCAAGCATTGAAACAAGTATGTGGTAGTGTATTTCGTCTTGCATTCATACCATGTCTTACAGAAGCTACATCTTTGATGCTATTTAGCCGTTTTTTGATTGGATGGCCTTGGTCATGGGGAGCTATATTAGGGTAAGTGTTTACTTTTTGTATTAAGGTCAAGTGGATATGTAAATAATGTTATAGATTTCTTGAGAGCGTTTGTCAAGCAGTTAATAAATTTGTTGCTTGAAAGTTTGTGTTGATCATTGTACTACCTATAAAATCTAACCTAAAAAACCAATTAAATTTTCTGTGAAACACATTTCCGTAACATAAATATTGTCAATTATTTATCGGGTCAGTAATTTTCTGCCAAAGCTTATCAGACTTAAAGTCCTTCGAACGACTGAAACAGTAACCATCCGGATGATGAAACAGGAGCTATGCGTACAAAAGAAATATCTTCAAACGCTTCTACTCACCTGGCCCAACCTCAAGTCCAATCAATAGTAGTCCTAGCTATTGGATGACTTAATTTGACCATTGTATTTACGACATTTCGTAGTCATATGTAATTGTCTCTGTTATCCTTATTCACAAATTCATTGAGCATTGTTTGTTTGAATCTTCCCATCGATTTGTTAGGACTGCAACTGGTCAGTCTCTAATTGGCATATATGCATACTGTGCGCATTGCCTCGATATAGCCTTAACTCACCCAGTACCTTCGCGAAGGTACTGGGTTAGAGTCCCAGAGTGAACATCAACTCTCAGATGCAGGTACATCCAGCTGACGAGTCCTAAATAGGACGAGACGCGCGTCCTGGATTCCACTGCTAGCCATAATCCATCTCTGCTTATTCACAAATGTTTGTATTATTATTGCTATTATTATCATTATTGTTATTATTACTATTGCTATTGGTTAAACATCATTATTAATCTCTCCAATACATGATTCAGTTACTTCGTATCCATTCCACCTTATTATGTCTCACTAATACTTTTTTACACTAAACATTTGATCAAGTTGTAATTGCACTATTACATTTCTCTCACCCTATCTGACCCATATTTATTCTGATCATAGATCATTTAACATTTTCACTTAACATATACACAGATTCAAGTTAACATTCCATATGGGTCATATCAACATTAACAATTTTATTCTATTAATTATCAGAAGGGGTTTTGTGGAGATTTAGTATTTATCATAGTTGAAAGCGTGAATCAATTGAAGCTAGACCACCATAGAAAACCTCGTCCCATTATAGGACGAAACGGCCGTCCAGTGTTTCCAGGTTTCCCAAGGTGATCTAGCTTCAATCGACTCACGCCTTCAACTATGATAAATTTTATTCTACTTTATTTGACAATCCCAAAATTTATATGCTTTAACTTTAAATGATGTGTTTTCCCGTTAACCTGGTCACTATATGGATTATTAATTTGGATATATAATTGCAGAACCTGGAGCGAATTTATCGAAATGAATATTCTTCGTTCGTATATCGGTCTTTTAATATGATGGGGATCTTTCAACAAATAAATATTGTAAATTATGTTATAAAAAGCAAATAAACTTATAACTTATACAATAAGTAACTGAACATATATTGTACTCAATATTACCTTATTGTTACCGAGAAAGGGATCATATAGATATTCACAGTGGTTCAAGTTAAAGATGAATAAAATATATGAAAGATGAATAGTAAGAAAACATTTAATTGGGAAGTGTGTGACTATGAATTCTGGAATACAGGTACATCCAGCCGACGAGTTTCAAATAGGACAATATACGCGTCCTGGAATCCACTGCATTCCATCTCTGCTTATATATACAAATATGTATATAAATATTTATACTATGTGTAAACGATGTAAATATTCAGCAGTTATCTCTTGCTACTGTAAACAGAAGAAAGCTGGGAGAAAAACGTCTATGTTTCATATATTATTGTATTTCATTGGTTTTTTTTCAAAACGAAAACAGTTTTAGGTCAGATGGTTCATAAAATAGAGAGCAGAAAGTTTATTCTTCACCACTTTGACATGAATAGGTAAACCACACAGGTGGATTCTTCAACATTTGAAACTGGATAGATTTATGTTTGACATTTTTAAGTTACTTGTTATTAATGTAATGGTGATTAAGATGGTCACAGCTTGTTACTTATTAGCCATAGACCAAGTGTTCAGGAAATTTGAATTCTGAGAATTAGTTGAAAAATGAAGAAATATCAGTGCGATAAGCCGTTAAGAGATATAAACCGGCGTATTTCATCATATTCTTCAAACATAAAATTTACTTTAGAAGTATACAATCATTTACTCTAATTGATCATAGAATAATGAGAAGAGTAATGTTTGTTTAGTTCTTAGTGATGATCAAATTCCACCAAATAATCAGTTATATGATCACCGGTCTAAATGACTTGATATATCGTGCACTATTTTTTAAATATTAAGTGATTATTGGGGGTTATAGTGAACGATAACACAAGCGAGGACAACCAAATGTAACTAAATACAAAATTACAAAATCTCTTAATCAAATCTCAGAACGCATAAGATAACGAAAATATATCAATGAAAACACAGGAAAAACATGAAATATAAGTATTTGACAAATGGTGGTTATCGTTATACAGTGAAGATTGTAGTTAATATAGCTTCAAAGAAGCACAATAACTTATAATTATTTTAATAATTAACCATTTTAAATCATTCAGGACATTATTATTGGAGTCTGCTTTCTTCTGAAGAATTGTCAGGCATACTGATGAAGTGTTATACCATTCAGCTGATAGAAAATACATAAATATCTTTCTTTTCGTCTACTAGAGTATGTATGTGAAATTGTTGATAGAATTGTACATAAAAGACATGTTTATATCTAAGAGTTAGTTTGATATTTCTTGACCAATTAAGTAAGTGGATAATTTCTTCTGCTACATCACTATCTTTGTAAACAAAGTGTAAATTAAACTATAATATATTGTGGTGTGGGCTACTCATAGCCACATAAGTAATATATAGCGATAGTCACGGATTGAATGTATTTCAGTAGAAGATTGATAAGGAAAGAACCGGAACGGAACGGAACGAAATTGGTATGAAAATACATGACCAATGAAATCCGAGAAGATGGACTAATATTTGCAGAAGAAACGGTCAAGATTTAGACAATTGATTGATAGTTTGTAAATTAACTGTTTACTGTATGGTTGTCAGATTTTAGTTAGATATTCTGTAATTTTGTACTCAAATATATTCGATTGTCCCTAACCGTATTCTTATTCAATACAATATTAACTCTATTATGTTACTGATTTACAGTCTTCTCTCTCATCATCTATCATTTGATTTTCTTTTTTAACAAAAGAAATTTTTCCCTTAGTATGTTTTAAATTGAATTTTATGCTTTGATTTGTAAAATACTTTCCACTAATAGTAAAATAGACCATAGGATTTTATATGAGATATATTCAAAGTTATGACAGAAAATTAATGGATAATCAGTAAAATTAGCATGAAAAGTCAGATATTTCCATAAACTGTTCTAAGATATTTATTAAGATAAAAACGAAGATAAGTATGTTGAAGAGATTATTTGAACTGTAATTCATTCATCTTTAATAATAAATAGATTATATATCGTGAATCAATTGAAGCTAGATCATCATGGAAAACTTGGAAGCACTGGCCGTCCGTTTCGTCCTATTGTGGGACTCCTCAACAGTGTGATTCTTCAAGTTTTATTATGAAGACAAAAGGTGAAAATTAGAATTTCAGAAAGTAAATTAGGTTTAAATTATAATCAAAAAACGTATCCTTCAACTAACAGGAATGTATCACATGAACTATAGAGTTAAGATCTATTCAATATTGATTAAAATCAATGTAGGTTGTTAAATTATTTATAAATAAACTTCTTAGGTAATCTTAGTGTGTAAAGAAGCATGAAGTATATTATATTACAGTTATAATCAGAACTTTAGGAATGACTGAAATGTATATATATATATACATATAGTGATTAGTGTGGGACTTCATATATATTATACACCCACGTAACATTCTAATGTATCGGTTTATGCAAATTTACTTCCTTCAATTGAACATAATGTAGATTTGCTATCATTTAAGAAATGCCATATCTAATGAATAAATATTTAACCACCTACAGGGAAAAATTCATTAGAAAATGTATCAATTTTTTTGTCATTTATTTATTTCCTTTAATAATAAAGATTTGTAAATGTATTCTAAGTCATTATATGAGAGATGAATATGATTTAAGTATTATATAACAAAAAAAAAGAAATATTGAAAATGATTTCAGCAACTCTTCATGTCTCTCTCTCTATGTATATACATACATCTATAACAAATCAAAGACTAGTTAAAGTTACTTATGATTTCACTTTAAATAGTGAGTGAGTCAAAATAGAAGACTACTGAAGCTATTTAAGTTTCTTAGTAATTAGTCATAATATAGTTTAAAAGTAGTTAAATGACCTAATGCTCGTTTCACTCCGTTTGGGGCTCGTCGGCTAGATTCACCTTCATCCCAGAGTTGATGTTCATTCTGAGATTTGAATCCGATGGGAGTGTTTCGTCTCATTCCAATGTACATATGTCAATAAGAGACTGATCAATTAGAGTTGTAAAAGTCAGTGGGAAGATTTAAATAACCAGTATAAAAATGAATTAAATTAAATTGAAATCATGAGTCAATTGAAGCTACATCACCATGGAACACCTGAATGCACTGGACAGCCTGTTTTGTCCAATTGTGGAACTCCTCAGCAATGTGTATAGACGATCCCACCTCTCAAGATTCGAACCCAGAACCTATCAGTCTTGCGCGCGTGCACTTGGACTCTAGACCACTAAGCCGACATCCAACGGTGGTAATGTTTAACTTCAACCAATCCACGAAATTGAGCAACCGTCCACCATTGTCTTTAGTGAGTTACTATTTCACAACAGACCTGGTTAAACTCCACTAGTCACTGCTCTTCCCTAGAATTAAAAAAATACCTCTTGAAGCCAGTCACTAGTGAGCATATGATTATTATCAATCTCGCGCGCAAGACTGATAGGTCCTGGTTTGAAATCTCGTGAGGTGGGATAGTGGATGCGCACTGGTGAGGAATCCTACAATAGGACGGAACGGTCGTCCAGGTTTTCCATGTTGGTCTAGCTTCAATCGACTCATGATTCCAACTATGAAAATACTGAAATCTCCACAAAACCATTTCTGATTATCTGATTTAGTATTGTTCATTTTCTATTGTCAATGTATCAAAAAGTCTCATTTAGCCCTATTGAATCTTCATATCATGTTTTTGGCTTACTCGATTATTTTATATCTTTCCTTTCATGATCTCAACTCTATAACTTACTAAAATCTCCACAAAACCCCTTCTGAAAATATTTTAGCATTTGGTATTTATAAAATCACTTATTGATTTGTTCAAAACCACTTCCATCTTTGACTTCACTTGGTATTGTTTGTTTATTTGAATCTTCCCCTTGATTTTTATGACTGCAATTGATCAGTCTCTAATTGGCATATGTGCATACTAAGCGTATTGCTTCGATATAGCCTTAATTCACAAGGATTATAAGCAAAGATGGACAGTGGCTTGCAGTGGAATCCACCTCCATTTTTATTTTTATAGCATTATTTACAACTGCTTTACATTGGAATCAGTAAAGAAGGAAAGAAAGAAAGAAGTCATTTTTATTTCATATTTCTGTTGATATGTATAATAGATACATCTATATACCTTCCAGTTTATCATTCAACAATCTGATAATAAAATAGATAATTTAGCCAATTGAAACTTTACTTCTGAATGAAGATAAAATCAAAATAGTGTAATAGAATAAATTCTAATGATTGATGTATTAGTTCACTTGAACATGTATATTTAATATTGTCAATAAATTACATCCAATGTGGCCATCTACCACTGGTTATGTAAGTTTTCTGTTTTGTTTTTTTTGTTTTTATTTAATTTTTTTAGAGAAATATAATAACTAATAATAACAGAAAGCGGTTTTTGTGGAGATTATAGTAATTTTAATACTTGAAATCATGAGTCGAAAACCCCTTCTGATATTAATCAACATATGGTTAATGGTGACTGGCTTCAAGAGGTATTTCCTGGAATTCTAATGAGCAGAAGTGGCCAATGGAGTTCGACCGGGTCTGTTGTGAAATAGTAACTCACTGAAGACAATGGTGGACATGTTGCTCGATTTCGTGGATTAGTTAAAGCTAGACATTGGATGCCGGCTCAGTGGTCTAGAGTATAAGTGTTCGAGCGCAAAACTGATAGGTCCTAGGTCCGAATCTCGTGAGGCAAGATTGTGGATGTGCACTGTTGACGAGTCCCACAATAGGACGAAACAGCCATTCAGTGCTTCTAGGTTTTCCATGGTGATCTAGCTTCGATTGACTCAAGATCTCAATTATTAAAATATAATAATAAATTGATTTTATTGAAAAAATCAATTAAAGCTAATTATCACCTTCATATAATCTAAAAATTCATAAACGATTTTGATTAATTAGTTACACATTTATAATGAAATAATGAAAAGAAAGTTAATTAATTATGTAATGAGAAAATTTTTTTTTATTTTTCAAGGACCTTATCTCAAAAATACTATAAGGTTATATATTATCATAAGATAACTAATGTGACGAATAGTTGTTATGGTTTAGTATCGATGCCTTTAATGAGTAAAACTCACGGAATAAAATTTATAATGAGTAAAATAGATAATCAATAAATGAGTGAAATATCGGACTGATTAAGTAATATAAGATATGTAAGAGATAAAATATCAAAGATAAAACTATATGATCAACAAACTATACTAAGTTGAATTTAAACTTCACCCCATTGCACGAGCATGTGGCTATTAGGACTCAATGGCCGAGTGGATAACGCGATGGCGTTTGAAGCGAAAGGTACTTGGTTCAAGTTCCAGAGTGAACATCAATTCTGAGATGCAGGTACATGCAGCTAAAGAGTCCCAAATAGGACGAAACGCTTGTCAAACTGGATTCCACTGCTAGCCACTATCTATCTTTGCTTACAATGCTCGTGAAATAAGTTTATATCTAGGCGATACGCAAAGTATGCATATATGCCAATAAGAGATTGACCAGTAGCAGTCCTAAACATAAATGGGAAGATTCAAACAAACAATACTAAGTTGAATTTATATGATGAATGATTTGGATGAAACTTTTAAAGTTGGTTAATGAAGATCACTTAATATGCTACTAGAAGTTGATTAACGGTGATCAGATAATAACTATAGTGATAATTGTAATAATAACAGAATAAATAGAATGGATGAATGTTAACGGAATATATTCAGATGTAAAATAAATTAAGACGGTTAAGAAAATATGTGATTTTAAGATAGAAGTGGTATTGATTGTGGTGGTCGATATTCGATATTATCCTTAACTTCGTATATTATTCGTCTTGATAACCGTTACTCGTTAACGTCCTAACGGTGTATAAATCAGAAGGTGAATACTAAGGGCTGATCGCGTTTATTATTGAACCATACACAGGTATCCAATATTACACGCACGTTAAGCAAGCATGAAAGAGCTGTGCCGTAAAACTGGCGAGCGAGCGTGAGAGCCGAATGAGCGAGTAAACATCTACAATACGGTACAGCGTAGAGTAGAGCAGAGAGCAAGCAAGCAGTAAACAGGATTAAGATGTACATATATATATATATATATATAAGTGGAAAAGTGTGAGTCATCGGATCAATTAAGCGATTAATAATAATGCTAGCGGAGTGAATACATGCGTAGGCAGTAAGCAATGTTCAAGCGTATATAATAAAAGTACAATGGTATAGATAGGTTGTTATTGTATGAATGACTGTCCATTAAATAAGTTAACAAAAGGGCTTAGCCAGATTAGGTGTAAACAAACTCAATTGTATTTGAGTTGCTATATGATAAATAAAATATAACAGAAAATATAGAAATATGGAGGAAACTAGCATATAACAAATAAATAGATCATACATAAAATACAAAAATGAATTGAAAATTCACCCTATTTGAAAAGCTAGTGGCTATCAGGACTCAGTAGCTAAGTAGACATCATTATGGCGTTTAGAGTGAACGGTACTGGGTTCGAGTCCCTGAATGGACATTAACTCTAGGATGCTGTTACATCCAGCCGACGAGTCCCAAATAGTATTTAACGCACGTCCTGGATTCCACTGCTAGCCACTATCCGTCTTTGCTTAGATCTGACAAGCTGGTTTTGTACACATGAATGTGGCTCTGTATTGCTTATTAGCAATAGTTCTGCGATACGGAAGAGATGTGTCCAAACCTTTTTCCGAAGATTTGATTCAGACTTATTAATGATCCTAAATCTGGAGTCCAATACTGCATGACCATGGTTAACTGTATTTTCGAGAGCACATTTTATGATTATCCGTGGTCGTTCACTTATCTGGAAGGGGATATATTATGAGATGTTCCTTTATAAACAACCTTTACGGAACAAGTAAACATGTCTCTTGTCAGTCAAACGAAGTAAGTGCTCTTTACTCAAATGTCCTTGAGTGGGGTGCTAGTGTAGAACACCTACAATAAAGTCGCACAAATCTTTTTCAGTAATACTTTAGTTATCCTCGATGTTTCCCTCAAATCCCAGAATATGATATATATTCTCCTGTATTTTCCTGATTTGTAAAAGACTATTGTTTCATATTTATTTCAGTGAACATCAAACAATAACCACTATCAATAAAAAGCTAGCTTCTAGAGACAGAAGTTCCTCTTCTATTCTATTTTCTGTGCTTATTTTTATGATGGATCAGGTGAAGAAATAAATGAGACTTTTTCTGTTCATAAGGCTAAAGCAATAAAAATCCATCATATTCCCATTCTACGTAGATTTACTATGAATAAACCTATTCATAGTCCAAACACTTCTCCTTGCAAGTAGTATGCCTAGGAACGAGATCTTGGAATTTACTTTTTTCCCAGAGGGGACTGAATGGAAGAATGACAATTATTTAAACTTTTCCACCACATTAGTGATCTTAAATAAAAACGATTAAGCAGTTTTTGAAAATGAATTCGATGAAGGAAAAATTTTCATTGCTGACAAATTTATTTGGTTTACATAATAGTAAATAGATAATTATTCAGTTAAATGTGATCTTATTACTATGTTTATGGAGTATCTCATTACTGTTAGTGAAAAACTTAAACCTTAATCAGTCAGTATATCTTTTGGTAAAACCTCTTGTTTCTGTATATAAATTAATACAATGAACCTTTAGTATACTTGGAAATGGTTTAATCAGAATATAACCACCTACCAAACTTTTAAAATTGTTGAGATTATTGAGTTTGTATTCTCAAGAGGGTGAGACTATAATTTATGCACGACCTTTCAGCGATCGTAAAATTCAGCCACTTACTAGAGTCATAGGAGCTTTACAAATTTGTTTGAGGAAATAGGACTAAGAAATTCAGTTAGAAGTTAGGGTTGATAATTAGAGTTTTCACAAATTAACATCAGCTATAATGCCAAAATAGCAATTTTTACCGTATAGATGAATGAATTTCGCGCTAAAATCCAAAACCTGCTACCTTAAATGTCATTGTTTCTTCCATAAATTATAGTCTCAACCTTCTGTGAGTTCATCAGACATTCACCTAATTATGTTATGCAACATAATTTTTTAAAAGGCGAATTAGACTATTTGTTCAAAATAAATAACAATTTATTTTACTTGTCATTTATTATAACTATAGATTCGTTTGTGCAGCTGTATCACCAGCTGTGATAGTGCCAAATATGATGCGCTTAGAAGTTACTGGGTGGGGTGTAGCTGAAGGTATACCTACTCTTGTTGTTGCTGCTTCCAGTTTAGATGATGTTGTTGCGATTACTGGATTTGGTGTTGCTCTTGGTGTAGCTTTATCTACAGAAAAAAGTTTAGTAAATACATTATTTTGGGGACCACTCGAAGCAATTATAGGTGCTTCATTTGGAGCAGCAGTGGGAATATTATTACTTTTCTTTCCTCCACCAAAACTCGTAAGTATTCATCAGTTATGTAAATCACAACTTTTACAGTTGATTTTGTAACAGCATTGATTCTTTTTGTGGAAATGAATGACTGAGACTACTGTAAACATATAATCAAAACCAAAGTTGAAAATTTAGATTATGGCTTTATTATTTTGAGCTTGGTACTTTACTTGTGAAACATGATGTTAGAATTCATAGGTTGGTCACAGATATTTAAGTATGTAGAATCGCTTGTTATCAAATGACTATCAAATGATTTATCAGCTTTAAAACTTTCAGGTAAGTGAAAATACATAAAAACATTGGAAATTCAAGCGATTTGATGTAAGAAAAACCCAATTAATTAAAAGACCTGACTTTTAAAAACAATGCTTTGTAATTCAACTTAGTATTGTTTGTTTGAAACTTCCCATCGATTTGTTAGGACTGCAACTGGTCAGAGAATACAATCGTAACTATTCCCTTTGATTATGTACAGTTTTTGATAAAGAGTAATCAAAGACTTACCGTGATTAGGAGCAAATAAAAATATCCTCAGCGATGTAATAATCTTCTACATTTACAAAGCCTAAGCTTGTAGATAAATATCTATTAGATTGTCAGTTATGACAAACATTTATGAGTATACTGTAATTGTCTAGAGAATGAATTTATTTGGAAGACACAAAGCTTACTGACCACCTAAATATAATTAATATTAAACTGATAGCCTAGCTTTTGAAATAGTTTCATCAATAAATAAAAGGTGATTATTTATTACTTCCCAAGAAAAGCTGAATACAATGAAATGTGTGTGGGACTTGGAAATGTTGTTTTTATTATTTTTTTTCTGAATAGCTTAAATAATATATATTTTTGAATAGATCTGACTCTATAATTACTTTTCCAACGAGCCCAAGTTGAGTCGATGGTTTGTCACGAATGCACATCAGTAACAGAGAAAAAGTTTTATGTTGACTAATGACCTGTCTTTTTTTATATATTTCAGGAGCATTCCCATTTCATTCGAGGTATACTTCTGGTGTGCTTTGCAATAACTGGGCTAATCGGCTCGGTCGCAATACATTTGCCAGGTGGGGGTGCATTGTCTTGTTTAACTTTAGCTTTTATTGTGGCAACTGGTTGGCGGCGCGGATTTCCATGGCGTTTAACTCAGTCACCAAGTATACCAACGGAATCATTATCAAATAATCCACAAAACGCACACTATGAAAATTCAAACTATCTAGCAAAACCGCAAACAGATAAACATAATGTGTCTTCGTCAAGAGATTCTGTCCTTACTAATGAAGATTCTCAAGAAAATTTTACGACAATCCCTTCGAAGCTTGAATCTATAGACGAAAAATATCAGCATTCTGATGAGGATATTGACTCCGAAAATATGACGAAGTATCAGAAAGATCTGAACAACCCAAACATACTTGAATCATTGGTTGAATTTCATCCCTACTATTGCTCAATTTTGCGTCAGCAGTATGGCCAGCATTCATCGGGTGAACATAGTAACCGCAGCAGTCTCCGTAATCGCCTCGCATCTGATGGTGACAGAAAACGAGGAGATCTTCCATCTTTAGCAGTTGCAGTAGCAGCTACCGGTAATGAGAAACAAGTAGAGGGATCTTTGGCCAAACAACCTCAACAGAATAGTTACCAGCAACAGACTCAGCAAACATCAACAATCACTTTTCAAAAACCAAAAGGATCTCGAAGATTCAGTCTACCTGAACCCACTGCTCACTACGAACTGGAATCATTTTCCGTGTCTCAGCAATTTCGCCGAGGAAGGAGTCCATCTAATGCAAACGCTTTACGTCATATGAACAGGTCGAGGCGCCGAATTCGTAAGTTGATATCATATTGGCAAATTTTCGTTGTAATGTTTATAATAACTAATACTAATTTATTCTATATCATATAAAGTACTTTATTAAATCGTGTTTTATTCTTGAACTCACCTAAATCTCATTTCTGTGGTAATTAAAGATTTTACCTTACCATTTTTTTAAATTAGTTGCACCGTTTCCGGATCAGTACTCACCATTTTACAACAATCAGCCAGTTGAAAAAGTTGAAGAAGTTGAAGAAAATGATGAATGTTCATCTAACGAAACAGAAAGACCAGATGATGATCAAGACGATAACAATTTTGATGGTTTAAATCATCAAGAACAACCTTTCGGCGATGTTGTTGTTCCAGCTACACCTGTTGAACGTGGATTGGCTTGTTTGAATTCGATGAGAAGAACTATGGCAGTCACATGGTGGTTTGTTCAACCTATTCTGTTCTCTTTAATCGGATCCGAAGTAGACATACTACATATGCCTGGTGGTTCAACTGGTAACTTTCTTACGTATATTATTGTGATTATGTATTTCGAATAAAAGTAATTTTATTAAAATGTACGTATTTATTAGAGATAGATTCTTGATGATTTTAGTTGTTCTGTTTAAGTATAATGTAAGGGTTTTGATCCTTAAAACATATCCTATAATAAATCCTAAATCTGATATTTATACACAGTGTGCTATACACTAACACCCCAACTAACTACTTTAGCAAAAACACAAGAGTGAGTGAGAAAGTGTATTGGACTACCGAATAAAATGCATAAATGCACCTTCATATATATAACACTCTAATCCTTAGGAAGTTAAACCATTGACCTTAAGAAAACTGCGCTTGACCATTATGCCATTTCTAATTGTCATCGATTGACCTTCACATTAAGCTATTTATTAATGACACTCCATATCAGGTAAATTTCTCAGTGTTTCGTTCAGTAGACATTTAAAATACAACAAATATGTAAACTAATTTGATGTTTATAGGCAAAGATGGATAGTGGCTAGCAGTGGAATGCAGGACGCGCGATTCGTCCTATTTGGGACTCGTCAGCTGGATGTACCTGCATCTCAGAGTTGATGCTCGTGAATTAAGGCTATATCGAGGCAATACGTACAGTATTCATATATGCGAATAAGAGACTGATCAATTACAGTCATAAAAATCAATGGGAAGATTCAAATAAACAATGCCATGGTAATCTGATGTTTATTATAATATACTTTAAACGAATACAAAGAAATAGAAATGTCGAGTCACAACAGTCAAACCACACTTCAGTAACTTTCCTTTTTTGTCAACTTTATGTTTATCACTAATTTCATACGTATTGTCAAGACTAGTAACGAATCTAAGAAAGTTTTATAAAATGATGAATCAATCAATTGGTGATCAATCAATTGATCATTACCCAGTGATCGATCATGATCATGATTACATCTCAGTCCTACAGGCGGTGCGTTGCTGCCCGAATAGCTCAGTGGTAACGTGTCTGACTGTGAAGCAGAGTGACACGGGATCGAATCCGTCAGGGAGCACCAGTTCCCTCAAGATTACAGGTACACCTTGCCGACGAGTGCCAAGTAGCACGAAACCAGGGTTCAGGGTTTCCAGTTGACCACCTCTAACCACCATCTTATCTCAACATAGTGCACGCAGTGCTGAGCCACCTAGACTAGTGGCCACATTGCAACTTGATCAATAGCATTCGATCAGCACTAAGAAGGACCTGACACGCATGACATTGATCACCACCCAGTGATCAATCAATCGTGAGAGTTTCATAAAGTTTACTATCACAGCTACTTTGAAAAACAACCCAATATGTTTCAAGATAATAGAAACATTCTATTATTTTAAGTTAATGTTCAATTTTATTGATATGGAGGTTTAGTTATTTATCATCAGCTTATAAGAAGTTGTAGATTTCTTGTTTACAATTTGTAATATATAAGAAGTTAGCAATGAAAATGAATGATTCTAAGTCTTTTATTACAAATCAAAAAATATAAGAGTGACATTCTATTCTTCATAGTTGAAATTAGGAGTCAGTTGAAGCTAGACTACCATGGAAAACCTGGAAGCCCTGGACGGCTGTTCAGTTTTAGTATGGAACTCCTCAACAGTGAGCATCCACGATCTCGCCCGCAGGATTCGGACCCAGGACCTATTGGTCTCGTGCACGAATGCCTAAACTTTAGACCATTGATCCGAGATCCAGCCTTCTGCTTTACAAATTGCAAAAACTTTTAGTCAGAGACATTATGATTGCTGGTAATATGAATCGAAATGAATGTACATTATTCAAATATCGATTACTAAAATTTCCACAAAACCTTCTTCTAATAATAATGAAAATAGTTTAATTTTTAAGGTTAACAGTATCGAATATCATCTATTCACCTTATATATAACTAATAATCTAATTGATTATAACCTTTGGATTATCAAATAGTTTACTGATATATATTTCATTGTGCAAACTCTGTAGAAAAGCCTATCTAAACTAAAGTCTAATAGTATCAAAAAAGTTATTGTAGTTTTTGATAAATTACTGAAGAAGGTATAATTAATATCAGATATGATTGATGATCTATCGAAACACAGGAAAACGCTAATAATACTACTAATAATAGTAATAATAGTATCAACGCAAATCCTTTTTAAAAATAAATTTAGTTGTATCACTTGAAGTGTACAGAAAAAAATAGAACTTTAAATCCATAGATAGTTTATATAAATGATATTTTCGTTTCCGTTTTAAAGAATCAAAATTTTTAAAGCTATGAACTATGGAACTAAACGATTAAAATCATTAAATAATGAAACTCAAGAATGCAAAATTTATCAATATTGGGTTGTGGAGATTATTAAGTTTTCGATTGAGAACATGAACTGAGCGATATTAGACCACAATCGAAAACCTGAAAGCACTGGACGGCCGTTCCGTTCTATTCTGGGATTCTTTAGCAGTACACATCTACAATCCAGTTGGTGGGATTTGAACCTAGGGCTTTCGGTCTCGTAGGCGAACGCTTAACCTCCGGAATCGGTTGAGGTTAGACATTAACACCGTTGGATACCGGCTCAGTGGTCTGGTGTTTAAGTTTTCACGCGAGAGACTGAGGGTCTTGGGTTCGAATCCTGAATGCGAGATCGTTGATGAGCGCTACTGGGGAGTCCCACAACATGACAAAATGGCCGTTCACTGCCTCCAAGTTTTCAATGGTGGTCTAACATCAATCGGTCCATGATCTTAATCAAAAAATGTAATATTTATTATTTTCTAATATTTATTCATGTTTTCATTGTAGTTTAGTAAGTTATGCGTACCTATTTTTCAGCTGGAGTTCGATAATATAATTAACATTTGAAATCCTGTCTAGTCTTGTCATTGGTTATTATTTATCTGTAAAATAAAGCATTTTTAAACAAAATTATTGACATTGAAGTGATCTGCAGGGGGCTATATTCGTTCTTTTTCTCAACAACTCATATGCTTACACAAAATAACTCTATTTTTAAATAAAATCATTTCATTAGTATGTATAGTTTGAAGATAAGCTGCTAAACGGATGAAATTCATCATGATTTAATTAAAGTAAGAATTACTTTGACCTCATAGTTGATTTCAAAATTTACCTATTACGTAATGTGTCGACTTAAAATTGCATGTATTTTTCTTGTTTTATCAAATATTAGGACGTGGAATCGGTGCATTCTTACTTGCTCTAGTCGCTCGTTTATTAGCAACAATGGTGGCTGTTTTACCGTCAAAGTTAAATATGCGTGAACGTTTGTTCATATCATTCGCGTGGTTACCAAAAGCTACCGTACAAGCAGCTGTTGGACCAGTTGCATTGGATACAGCTAGACAATTAAATTCAAATGCACAAATAATTGGTTGGGGGGAACAGGTGAGTGTTGATTTGCTTCAAACCCTTCTATTGTTGTAAAACAATATTCTTATGTAAATAATATTAAACGTGTTTTCAGTAATGCTAAGTTGTAAAGGTAATTCCAGGAGTTGAAATAAGAAGTAGTGACTAATGAAGTTTAATTATGTAAGATGTGAGACAAATATTGCTAGTTTCTATAACGTTATAAATGTAAATTAATGGATACTTGCTCAGTGGTCTAGAGGTTAGCTGCTAGCTGCCAGATCTGCAGGTCCTGACTTTGATCCATCTCCATGGTCGGGATTGTGTATTGTTAGATAGTCCTATTCTACGTTGAAACATCAGTTCAGTGTTTTTTGGATTTCAACAGTAGTCTATGATCAGTTCATGATGTGAATTATGGTACTCGTGTGTAATTTGCTTCTAATTTGACTGTTCGTTTCACTGGATAAAGAAGAGTAGAACTGACTGCCTATTTTTTTTCTCTCCACGTTACCAAATCCTCATACTAAATCTTCATGATCTAGTGAAATAAAATCAATAACATTGTATTTATCGAAATTTACTAAGCTTTCTAATTATATTTAAATTGCCTAATTGTACGAAGAAATGAAAGAAGTATATACATCTTTTGACACCTCAAGACCACAAAATGACCTTTCATTTAACGGTTTTTGAAATAGTTCAATTGTTATAATGTTGGAGTAGTGTAAAAATTATCCACTTTAGTAAAATGATTTGAAATATTAGTTAGTTACGAAAATTTTTGGATGAGTAGTTGATCTCAGTTTGATTTATACTATTTAAAAGCTCCAACGGTACCACAGTATGGATACATTAAAATTTACAAAATGGAAATAAACATTTTCTAATAGTTTATTTTACAGTAACTGACAAACGCTGTAAGCAAAGATGGATAGTGGCTAGCAGTGGAATCCAGTTTGACGCGCGTTTCGTCCTATTTGGGACTCTTTAGCTGCATGTACCTGCATCTCAGAGTTTATGTTCACTCTGGGACTCGAACCCAGTACCCTCGCTTCAAACGCCATCGCGTTAACCACTCGGCCACTGAGTCCTGACAGCCACTTGCTTGTGCGATGGGGTGAAGTTTAAAGTTTGAATCGAGGGTACTGGGTTCGAGTCCCAGAGTGAACATCAACTCTGAGATGCAGGTGCATCCAGCTTACGAGTCCCAAATAGGGCGAAACCCGCGTCCTGGATTCCACTGCTAGCCACTATCTATCTTTGCTTATCATGCTTGTGAATCAAGGTTATATCTAGGCGATACGCAAAGTATGCACATATGCCAATTAGAGACTGACCAGTTGCAGTCCTAACACATCGATGGGAAGATTCAAACAAACAATACTAAGTGATAAACACTTTATTACATAAAAGTACTATGAGTGAATCATTCTTGTATACTTTGTAACTCCTAGAAAAGGGAGCCCAGCATGTGTGCAAAACCGAGGATTACTTTCAAAATAAAGAAAATTAGTAGGTTTCTAGTATTTAATTATAAATCGCTCGGAAGCAATGTTTATGTATTGTATAATGATAGAGTGAGCAACGGAGAGTTTTAGTGTATGGTACTTGAAAAGTATGGCAGATCGACTAAGTAATGAATTTTCATCTATAGAAATGTTTGAAACAGGTATATTTTAAGTCTGAACACTACTTGATTTGGCGCTCAATGTTGGTTGGAGTGGCGGTAGATTGGAAGTTAAATTAATGGACGAAACTAATAAGTGAAATCAGTCTTCGTACTTATTGACTATTATTTTGGTCCATATCACAAGATGCAAACTATCCAGCTGGACTCCATGCCGTTATCATGAATAATGATTGGGAATATTTGGTAATATAACTTAAAATCGATCACAATGTTACAGATCCATTCATTCTTTGTGTACTGCTGGATTCTGATTTCCAAAAAAATTTTTATAACTTTTATTCTATGAATCCATCTCTCTTCTAGAATTATATTCATTTTGTCAAATGTTTTCTAGTATGAATAATGCTTCTACTACTTCAATATCCATCTTCATAATTTCATATTTCCATGATTATGTAGTGTGACAATTTTCATTGATATATACTTATATCGAATTCTGGGTTATTGGTTGACTCTGACATATTACAGTATTGTCATGTTAATATTATATTCAGTCATCATTTATTATGTTACATATATAGTTTACGCAATATAGGTTTATTAAATCATCTGAACTATTAGTATTACACTGTAAATCTAGGAAAAATATAACAATAATTTGTGCTATTGCAGTGCCGTGGTTCGTTAATCGTTCACCTTGATAACCGTCATAATTCCAATCTTAACGGTGCATAAAATCAGAAGGCAAAGTTTTATTGACAAATGACGCAGGCCAGAAAGCTATAAGCCCATGAGCAAATATCAGCGTGCGAAGCAAAAAAATGATACACATTGGAGATGGCGAGTAAGCCAAGCTCACTTTATTCAAGCGTCAATCTATATTTGTAGTCAGAAAAGAATAAGTTACAGACATATGATGAATACGATAAAAAGTGTACACACACTTACGCTCATATAAAAAATAGTTGGGAATAATAAGTGAATAATTAAAGTGATTAAAACGTTACTCATGATGGATAGGTAAATAGACTTTTCCAGAAGCTAGAATAAAGTATGTGGGCTTAACAGATCAACCGACACTATACTATATTTATGATTATTTTTCTTCTTTTTATTTCTTTCTAGGTTGTTACATTAGCTGCTATTTCAATTCTAATCACTGCTCCATTAGGTGCTATTTTAATGCCACTTACTGCACCTTATCTATTACGTCAAGATATACAATCTTCACAAGTATTAATAGAACGTACTAATCCTAAACATTCTCCTAAATCTAATTCTGCTCAATTAACTAATGTATTGAATAAAAAAATACAAAAATCAAATCAAAAAATAAATAATAATAATAATAATAGTAAACAATCACAATTGAATACTGTACGTAATACAAAATTATAAGTCAGTTAAACAGAACTTGAATATTTCATTGTTTACATTTACCTCTTTACTTTTCTGTTTATGAGTGAATATATTTTTGTTTTTTTTTCATTAAAAAAAATTAAAAAAAAAACGGAGAAAAGAAGAAAAGATTTCACTCACAACTGATTTTTACAAATAATAATAATATAAAGTAGATATTAGTTGAAGATGCAAAAAAAACAGAAAAAAAAACAAAAAATAAACTTTTAATTTGTAATTTATTTCAAATATAAATTTCTAGTTGTATTTTGTTTCTTTTTTTTCTGTTTTTCTTTTTTTTTTGTTTTTTTTGTTTTTTTCTTTTTGATCAATAAAATTTAAAACATAGCGGTACAATTAATTTGTTTGAAAAGCAAACAAACAAAACAAGCGAAACGTATTACTCTATAGAATCTTTTTTTTAATTGTACAGTTTCATGATTTCTTAATGACATTCTCTTTCATAGAAACCTATCTTATTTAATTTTATTAAATCAATTAATGATTTCATTACAGATCTATTCATTCATTTATTCCCTTTATTAAATTCATTTTAAAGTTTGATTATTGTTTGCATGGTAACATATAGAAAATAGTAATAGTTATGTAGTATTATAAAATTCATTTATATATATATATATATATATATATATGTTGATCAGTATTTGTAATTGAGTTATATATTATATATTGAACAGATATTTATTAGGGGGTTATTTGTGGAGATTTTTAGTAATTTTTTATAAATCGTTGAAATCATGGGTCCATTGAAGCTAGACAACCATGAAAAACCTGAAAACACTGGACGGCCGTTCCGTATTATTGTGGGACTCCTCAGCAGTGCGCGTCCACAATCCTGCACTAGCGAGATTCGAACCAAGGACCTACCAGTCTCGCGCCAGAACACATAATCGATCGACCACTGAGTCGGCCGGCATCCAAAGGTGTAAATGTCTAACTTCAACCAATCCACGAAGTTTCAGCAACCATTTCACTAATGTTTTCAATGAGTTGATATATCCCAACAGACCTGGTCTATCGGTTAAGTGCTCGCGCGCGAGATTTGTAGGTCCTGAGTTCGAATCTCGTGAGGCGAGATCGTGGATGCGCATTGCTGAGGAGTCCCAAAAAAGGATGAAACGGCCGTCCAGTGCATCCAGGTTCTCCATGGTGGTGTAGCTTCAATCGATTCATGACTTCAACTATATATAAAAAAGATATTTATTAAGTTTATCAGTTGTTATAAAGATATTAAAGTGGTAATTCTAATTAGTGGATGTATCTGAGTTAGTTTAGTAAGTTAGTTTGCATTTCCCTCTTCCAGAAATAAATTTTGATGATTTCTGTTCATAGCTCTCTTTCTATTACTATCACATAGTATGAAGTCCTTACGTAATAAAACTTTAGTCCTTCCTAATCTTACGAATTCAATTAATAAGTTTAATATCTCAGAAAAATATCTTTATCGAGCATCTACTTCAATACGTGTACATGCCAACGTACACAGACGTCAGTCAGTGATTTTGAGTGCTGTTAAAGGTATGAGGGCAGTTATCACTTCCCGGTTGCCCACACCATGGAAGGGTTCTTCTAGAGGTACCTGAAAAAGAAATTGGATTAGAAGTGATCTTAATGACCTGAGAGCGTGACTGCAGTGCCCAAGGCACAACTGCGTGAGGTCGGTCACACACAACCATTTTGTGAGTAATTTTTGTGTTAGCTCCATACTTGTTGGGCTCTTACCGCCGGTGACTGATAAGGCGAGGTATGCATATTTAGGGTCGACCTTTTCTAACCCCACACCTCCTTGTGGGAAGGTAGCATCACTGTTATCCTGGTTGTCTGAAGGAAACACCTTACTTCTGCCCCACCTCTGTACAGCCAGTAGTACGACTTCGCCTTCGGACCTTGGGTTTGCTGCTTTAAGTCTTACCGCTCTTCAACCAACGTATCTGACATGGTAGGACCTTGAGGAACGATTGTTCCAGCCAGTATAGCTCGATTGGTTCATCACGATAGGCAAGTCCGACCACCACGTCAAGGTAGCAGTAACGGTAGGGGTATACAGATGTGTATAAAATAAGAATATATACATGATACAAAACATTGAACCGTAAAACAAATTTGATAAGATATATCAGAAACTAATGATCGTTTCATTTACAAATAATTAGGATAGAACATGTAAATAAATGTCTATATTCAGCTGTAAATTACATTTGAAATCGGTAAAGTTTAACATAACTTAGCTGAAACGAAGAAATATTTTATCAGCGGATGTATACTATTACCATTACCATTATTTCTTGTACCCATATCATTACTATTGAAATGGGACAGAAATATCTATCTTTAAAGTGAAATCGAAGCATTCAACAATCAAATCATTTTCTTGCTCGTAATTTTATGATCTTTGAGGCAAATAATTCTAACAAAATTTATTGGATAATATTAATAAAACAATTTAATTCATGCTTTCTATTTGCTAATGATAACTTCAGGGCAAGTGAATATGTAAAAACAATAATTATGTGTAAATAATAGCTTAAATCGAAACACAAAATGAATGCTATATCAGTTAGAAAATATATCTGAATAAATGATAACAAGTGGTTATTCATCGTATATAATGCGTGTATGGGGCAATATGATAGCTATCCGGATGATTAGCTTCTACATCATTGATTAATTAGATATATTGTGAAGCGAATCAGTCAATTATGAAATGATATCAATCAGTGGAAAGAAGATGAACTTTATTCACCGACAGAAAATATAAATTGCAACATAATAAATTTCAACAATCTCTACAAATCTAGACTAATAATTATCATGTGCTCACTAGTGACTAGCTTACTGAGGGAATTCTCGGAGTTCCAGTGTAAAGTCGTGACAAGTGAAGCTCAACTATATCGGGTTTGAAGCAGTTACTCATCAAAGACAATGGGAAATGGTCGCATGACACTATCATGGGTCGGTTGAAGTCAGATGTTAACACCGTTGGATCTCGGCTGAGTGTACTAGAGATTTAGTGTTCGTGCATGAGAACGAAGGTCCTGGGTTCGTGTCCCGCATGCGGGATCGTGGATGCGCGCCATTAAGGAGTTCCATACTTGAGTGAAACGGCTGTTCAGTGCTTTCAAAGGTTTGGGAGAGCCATTTGGAATTTGTCGACGCATGGCAAATATATTAACTGACGTAAAAAAAATAAAGCTTAAAAACAGTTTTTGAAATATTAACTAAAGCTTTAGGTTCCCACTTTATTTAGCCTGTTCTGATTTGATTGAGCCTAGGAGTAAAGTCAATTCTAAAAATCAGTAAGTCAAGCGTAACACACTAAGATGATTCTGATTGCTGAGTTTCAAGCACTCAAAATTCATAAACTAATGATCGTATGGTATGCTCAAATTCAGTAGTTGGATTACTGTCCGAATGACTTGCATCTCGATATTTCTAATAATCCCAAAATTCATTAACACATATCCAGTACTCTGTTTACTATGAATTAAAAAAAGCTGGCGAGTTGATGTTGCATTGATTAACCAGCTTTGTGAAATATTACATTTCAGATCGACACTATTTAGCACAAACAACAAGGACCAATCTATTAATATAGTGATCACAATTCATTTTCGGAATTGATATAAAAAAAACTTTTGAATTCCACACGTAATGCAACCAAGCAAAAAAGAAAAACAACTTTTACCTATTCATTCTCAACAATTCAAAATAAAGATGAATGAAAAGGTATGAAAAGATGTTTTAACGTTCATAGTATTTTATTAGTCTCTAGTGCCTTAAATATTTACAAGTCAGTCAATTTGAAAAAAAATGGTTACCAATTATGTCTTGTTGAATAAAATGATCAGGAAAGATGTTAACTTTAAATGATACAAATCAAATTAAAAATTGAAAGAGTTCATCTAATAATATGAAACAGGAAAGTCTATCTGATGCATATATGAAGACGTGGATCGGCAAATCAAGAGCAGCATATTTACAACTAAATAACATCTGGAACTCAAAACAATTGTCAACCAACACCAAGATCAGAATTTTCAATACAAATGTCAATCCTAATGCAGTCCTAAACACATCAATGGGAAGATCCAAACAAACAATACTAAGTGAATCCAAATGTCAAAACAGTTCTACTGTATGGGGCGGAAACCTGAAGAACAACGAAGGCCACCATTCAGAAGATACAGGTGTTTACTAACAGTTGTCTGCGCAAAATACTTCCGATCCGTTGGTCAGACACTATCAGCAACAATTTACTGTGGGAGAGAACAAACCAGATTCAAGTAGAGGAAGAAATCAGGAAGAAGCGCTGGAAGTGGATAGGACACACATTAAGGAAATCACCCAACTTCGTCACAAGACAAGCCCTCACATGGAATCCTGAGGCCAAAGGAAAAGAGCAAGACCAAAGTACACATTACTCCTAGAAATGGAGATAGACATGAGAAGAATGAACAAAAGTTGGATAGAACTAGAAAGGAAGGCCTAGGACAGAGTGGTTTTGAAAATGCTGGTCTGTGGCCTATGCTTCATGAGGGGTAATAGGCGTAAGTTAGTAGTAAGTAAAGTAAGGAAAGTTTATTCCAGTACTATGGAGTAAGAAAAGCAGTTACCAGAATGAATTAAAATTGATCATTGAATAAGAAGATCTAGTTTAAGTCATAATTATCAATGAATTAAGTGAATTATTGTAGAATTGAACACTTCTGGAGATATCTATAGTATATCGTAAAATTGTTAAGTAACCTATAACTATGTATGAAAGTATTAAATAATTTTTTAAATTCAGAGTTTATAGTGCATGTACTTAAATGAATATATGTACATTCGAAAACTGAGTATAATAGTGTAAAGGATAATTGTCTTTCTTTGACTGGTGTATGGAGAAGTACTGTTCCAAACTAAAGATGAACGAATTGGTAGTATACAGTCTAAACATTTCAGCTGTAATCATCTTCGGAAAATAAATTCCATTTCTTTAATTAATAGAAAAACTCATATGTTCCTCCTTAACCAAATCCTTATTGTTTATTGACAACTTTGTAAAGAACTACACTATAAGACTAGTGAGTGTAGCAAAATTGAGTACTCGTCATCACTGTATTCAAAATTGTTACTCGGGCGGCCTGCTTGAATATCTAGGCTACCTATTCCTGACATCTAAACATTTCAACAAGCCATCTGTTTCCTTGTTTGTTTTAACAGATCATTATGTCAATTATTGCATAACCTATACAGGTGCGCTTGTAACCTTTCACTGTACAAGCTACAAAAAGGTACAATCGAAGACAGTGTGATGACTAACAATATCCATTGAATAGAATGAATATTGTTCAGATGTCGACTGCTGAAATGTCCATATCTAACTGTCGATCACACAATATTTATCGTCAGGATCGATCAAGAAATAAAAAACGGAAACTCGCTGAAATACTATATTATACCGAAAATATAATACTGAATGAAGCTAATAATAATAATAATAATAATAATAATAATAATAATAATAATAATAGAATTTGTAATACATTACAGTTTATCAGGCTCTTCCATGATGCAACCAGTGAGTTTCTACTAGACAGCTTAAAGAGCATGTCACACTTCAGAAGGCATAAATTTCGACG